ATGTTTATATATAATCTAAAATATAAGAATATAAATATATAAATGTATATACATGTAAATATCTTCTATATATATATATACTGTATGTGTGTGTGTTTATACTGTATATGCATAATAAATATACACAGTACACACACGCATATTATGTAAACAAAAACTTATTTTGGATGCGATTGATCATTTGACCGAACTAATATATATGTTTAAATTTTATTTATTTATTCCTTAAATGATAAGGATAATAAAAAAAATCAATTTTTGATATGAATATGTATTTGAAAATGTATACGTTATACTGTAATTTAAATATAGGCCTACTGTATTTACTTAATTTGTATATTAAGTATATAGTAAATAAATAATTTTTTAAAATACATTTTTAAATAAATTTTTATTTATTGTGGTGGAACGAGGTAATGTGAGAAATAAATTAAAAATGTTGCAGTTGTATGAAGTTTTTTTTGTTAATGCTTTAAAAAAAAAAAAGAGACACTTATTAGTTTTTGTTAATAATTTGAGTTCTTTTATTTTTTCTGTTTTCACAATAATTTGAAAGTTTTTGTGATTTATTTATTTCTTTTTAAATATATCTCAATTTTTTTATTTTTAAATATATCTAGTTTTTATTATTTTTTATTTATTTAAGTTTACTTAGTTTTAGTTATTTTAGTACTTAAAATTAAACTAGAAAATTAGTGATGTAAATGTACTAAATTAATTATCCCCAAAAAATTAGTAACTAAAATGTATTTATTTCAGTTAAGGTTTATTTTGTTTAAAAAAATAAAATGATTTTTTTTCATGGTTTTAGAAACGCGGTTTGGAAGATTAATTCATGATGTACTCGCTCATTATATACATTTTTATATACATTATATACATTTTGAACACGGAAAAAGTTACATAGTGCTGCTTTAACAGGAATAGCATTGATGTGTGTGTGTATGTGTTATTAGTTGTGTGTTTGCATGTGGTCTTTCACATATTTGATTTGACAGGTGTGTTGTGTGTTGTGTCTGGCAGGTGTGTGTGAGGGGTCCTAATGTTTTTAAGGGGTATCTGAAAGACCCTGAGAAGACGAAGGAGGCTCTTGGTGAAGATGGTTGGGTTCACACAGGAGACATTGGCAGGTGGCTGCCGGTAAGAGTGGTTTAATAGAGGACCTTCATTCTGTGTTCACAGGCACATTTTATTCTAATTTAGAAAATGAAAAATTTAGATACACTATTACAGCTAATTAAATGTGTACATGTGGAATTAAAACTACTCAAGTTTGTTTTTTTTAAATGTTTTTAGTCTCTTCTACTCACCAAGGCTGCATTTATTTGATCAGAAATACAGTAAAAACGGTAATATGAAATATTTTTACAATTTAAAATAACTGTTTACAATTTGAACATATAAAAGTGTAATTTATTATTGTGATCAAAGCTGAATTTTCAGCATCAATCCTCCAGTCTTCAGTGTCACATGATCCTTCAGAATTAATAATTTGCTGATTTGTTGCTCAAGAAACATTTCTTATTATCAATGCTGAAAAAGTTTTACTGCTTAATATTTTTATGGAAACAGCGTGTATTTGAAATGGATTTCTTTTGTAACGTTTTTAATGTCAATCAATTTATTGCATCCTTGATGAATAAAAGTATTAATTTCCCAAACATTTGAATAGTAGTGTATTTAAAATAAAACACCCCACTTCACTAAAACAAACACCCAATCACTGACAAAACATTGTTTGCATACTGCTAATTTTTGATGAGCATAATTGTAAAAATTAACAAATTTTCTAACATAAGTGTCTGTTCATGAATGTTCATATTTTAAATAACTATTTAGCTTCTGGTTCTTTTAGCAGAACAGGTTTAATTCATGTAAAATATGCCATTATTTAAATGGACTATTTGGAAATATTTTGATAGTTCTTTTAATTTATAGTTTTCAGTTATTAGTGAAAGAATCAAATTGAAACCTGGCAAATTTATATATACATGAAGACAAATGATGCCCGTAAATCTGTATATACATATATACTTAACCACCACACCATTTTTTTTTTCAGAATGGCACTCTAAAGATTGTGGACCGTAAGAAGCACATTTTTAAGCTGGCTCAGGGTGAATACATCGCTCCAGAGAAGATCGAGAACATTTACATCAGGAGTGAAGCTGTGGCGCAGGCTTTCGTACATGGAGACAGTCTGCAGGTGAGGAGTGAGAACAACACACAAGTGGAGGCATTACAGAACAAGTCTTTATTATTTATTGTTCTCTCATTTTCTCCCCAGGCCTGTCTGGTAGCCATCATTGTGCCAGATCCAGACTTTCTGCCCGGCTGGGCCAAGAAGAGAGGCATAGAGGGCTCGTATGAAGAACTGTGCAAAAATAAGGTAAAGACAGATCTTCCGTGTGCATTTTTATTCACTTCCACACTTGTCAGAGAGTTGCATGCATGGGTATATTTGGGTCTTGAATAAAATGCAAATATCTAACAAATCACAAAGTTTGAGAGTAAATAATGTGTCTTTGTTTTCAGGAGGTGAAGAAAGCCATTCTTGAGGATATTGTCAAATTGGGTAAAGAAAGTGGCCTGAAGTCTTTTGAACAGGTGAGGTTCGTCTGGATAGACTCAAAAAATATTAATTTCCATTCATTTGGATTATACAGTTTTAACTTAAACTAATAAACTTTATGTGTGCTGCATATTTGTGAATTATATATAAATGAAACTGGTAAGAACCAAGTATGATTTCTGCGCTCCAAACAATCATGGCATAGTTTATTATTTATTTGCATTTGATTTTATTTAAATAATCATATTTTCAAAATGCATGCACAAAAAGCACTTTGAATTACCATAAATTCAAAATAATGATCTTTGAAAAAGCATCATATGACCCCTTTAAACTATTTTGCACTTGAAATGGCTGCAATTATTGTTTCTAGAGGAGGCAAGCAAAGAACAGAGAGCGCGTGGTAGAAGGGAGAGGATTTTTTCCACGTATTAATTTATTTGGAATGCTAGAAGAAGACATTATCCGAACATATCGTTTGCCAAGCCATGTTATTTTTAATTTGCTTCAGGAAATTAAAGACGACTTTGAAACCTCAACTAGGAGTCACGCAATACCAAAGATGCACAGTGACGAATTAGCGCTGAAAAGGCGTGGACAGTTATTTTTGTGCCTGACCTTATTGAATATGCATTTTTAGGAGTTTCTCTTTCAGACAAAAGTTATGGGAGGAGAATATTCAAATGAATCACACAACGCGTTTTACTAACGTTTGCGCTTGTCAAATTACTGCCATTTGCGCCATTATTTAACGCCCTAAAAAGCATGTCTTAAAGGGGTCATATGATGCGATTTCAAAAGATGACTTCAACCCTCAACTAGGAGTCTCGCAATACCAGATCTATCAAAACTTCTAGCAAACCTTCATTTTTGGCCTCCGGTTCTTTTCAATGTACTGTGGCTTATTTCTTTATTGTTTATTCGTGACTATGCTAATTTGTTGAATCAGCTACTGTTTTGTTATTAGTTTAAGTATTTGCTATTGACTGTTCAAATGCGGAGTTTTGCGCATGGTGTGCGTGTGTGTGTGCGTGTGTGTGTGCGTGCGTGCGTGTGTGCGTGTGTGTGTGTGAGGGGCGCTGTTTTGGAATTGTGCTCTCATGCTAATTTGCCCCGTTTAGTAAAACTGGCCCTAAGTTTATTAGGATGGAACTTGTATATGCAGAAATCTCAATTTCAAAAAATGGACCCTTATGACTGGTTTTGTGGTCCAGGGTCACATATATAAATCCTAAATTTAGGCCTAAATATTTTTAAGTGCATTAAAATGCATAAAGAAATGATTTAATAAATGATGACTGCTTTTTCATCATCTTCACTTCTCAGGTGAAGGACATTGCTCTTCACACCGAGATGTTCTCCATCCAAAACGGCCTCCTGACGCCCACCCTGAAAGCCAAACGCGCTGATCTCAGGAACTGCTTCAGGAACCTGATCGATGAGCTTTACTCCAACACCCAAATGTAAAGCAGAGGAAGTGCCTCAGATATTTCAGAGTAACAGAGCTGATCTGGGTCCCATGACTGAAAAGACCTAGTTCAAAACAAGAGGCCTGAGAGAGCTTGTTGTCAACTGATACTGTAGCATCAGTTTTATATGCCTTTCAGAATAAGATTATATACCCTAGATCAGCTGTGTTACTCGACTCGACTTCAGCTTTAAAGATCATGCCTCAGGAAAACATCCCTACATTTTGACACCATAATTTTTGCCTTTGACTATTTTAGGAGAAAGGGAAGAGAAATCCACAACCTAATGCTGTTATTGAGGACAAAATAATATTCCTCTTTTATTTGTGCATTTTTTTCTAATGAGATGATGTAGATAAGCCAGACATGCTATTCTGCTTAAATTTGCTGAAAATGTAATCATCCTCACTCTAAGATGTAGATGAGTGTTTCTTCATAAGAACAGATTTGGTGAAATGTAGCATTACATCACTTGCTCAGCAACGGATCCTCTGCAGTGAATGGGTGCAGTCAGAATGAGAGTTCAAACAGCTGATAAAAACATCACAATAATCCACAAGTAATCCACACAACTCCAGTCCATCAATTAAAGTCTTATGAAGAGAAAAGCTGCATGTTTGTGAGATACAAATCCATCTTTTTGATCTTCAAACCATTGCTTCCAGTTAAAATATGATAAGAGTCCTCTATCCATATTGCTTTATCCAGTGAAAGTCAGCTCAATTGAAACAGAAGAGAAAAATGCACAGATCAAGCAACATTTACAAGTGAAAACAGTCCAAAACAGTTTTAAACAAATATGTCGGTGAATTCTGATGTGAGGGGACAACAGGGGATGGACTTTTTCACTGGAGAAAGTGTTATTATGGACTTTTGGTATTTGTCCAGGAGGTGACAGTTTGAAGTTAATAAATCAAATAAATCAATAAATGTTTCTTACAAACACTCAGCTTTTCACTTCACCAGGTGTTAATTGATGGACTGGAGTCGTGTGGATTATTGTGATGTTTTTATCAGTTATTTGGACTCTCATTCTGACGGCACCCATTCACTGCAGTGGATCCATTGCTGAGCAAGTGATGTAATGCATTTCACCAAATCTGTTCTTATGAAGAAACACTCATCTACATCTTGGATGGCTTGAGTACATTTTAAGCAAACTATTCCTTTAATACAGCAAACCTTCATTTTTAAGTTTGTGGCCTTTCTATAAAATGTTTTTTTAAGCTATTGCTTCAGTGGCAGTAGCTACATTGTGTATGTGTGTGTTTGGGAAATATCATGTACTGTCTCAGGGGAAAGTGTGCCTTATTAATGGACATCTCAGCTGCATTGAGTGTTGTTGATGAGAGAGGAAAAAAGAAAAAAAAAGCCAATGATTTTGTACCTCATGATCAACATGAAGGGCGAAGCACACACCCCACACTAGATGAAGAGTGGGAAATATTTCATGATTATGTCTTCCAGTAGATATTTTAATGTTCTGAAGCCTTTTTCTGGACTCTTTATTAACAGGACGTAAATTAAAAAAAAGGAAAGTTTTGTATTTTAGGAAAACTACTGTTATTGGTCCTTTATTCAAGAAACACTAGCAAAGCAGATTTTTGTTTGGCTAATTTTTCTATTTAATTCTATATATTTGTATAGAACTTATTCTAAAGCAGCTTTACGAAGAATAGTGCCTTACAAAATGTGTACAAATGGTTAATAAATCTGTTTTTATGAATGATTTACTCCAATTAGTTTTGCTTGTGTTTCATGAATAAGGTCCATTGAGTTTAAACACAGCCTGTGAGATTATAATATGTACCTATATAAGCCATATGCTGTCTATTTGATGCTTTCCTCATCTTTAATGTTGACTTTAAGACCGCTTACATTCTCATCTAATTTTGTTGGCTATTTGGCAGATGTTTTCAGGTGTATATTATAGACGTGACCTGTCTCATATCATTATGCTGTAACAGCATTGCAGAATACAGGAGCTTTCCACATGTGTCCTTATTGATGGTTGCTGCTTCATGTTCATTGTAATTGTGTTTATTATGCACAGGTTGTTTTTATTGTTTGTTTTATTCAAGCTTTATCTTGTGTGTGAAAGGACCAGTAGATAAGCCAAAGCAACTGTCATGTGTGTGACAAACTAAAGTGCACTCTTAAAATGACTCAGTTGTACTAAAATACATTATCGTGACAATAATCATAAATGTAAATTTTCCATGTAAGAGATGTATATGATTAAAATTAAATATGATTTATGGATGATGAAGAGTTGGTTAAAGCTGTTTTTCTTTCAGGGCTGTGAAAATTAAATTGTAGGTTTATTTCATGTAAATAGTCATGTGACTAAAACCATTTATTTCCTATGGTTGCACTTTGTTAGAACTGCATAGAAAGAAACAATTAAAAATGTCATTTAGTAGATATATTTAACTGATTTGTTGAAATTGTAGGTTTTAAAATATTCTAATAGTTATACGTATACTTTAGTTAAGTTATATTTTATTTTTTTAAAGTTATTTATCAAGAATTTTATTATTTTATATTTCTATATATTAAAAAAGAGACAAGACATGCAGTTTATTTCATGGGATAATCCGAATTATCCATGTTCAAAATACTTGCACTTATTCATTAGATTGTTTATTATAATAATTTGTATTATTGTATTATTATTGCATTTAAATACAAAATTGGGTTAATGTATATACCAGCATGCCTGTGTGCAAAAATATAATATAATTATTTTAAAAGAATTATATATTAATTTCAATATTTACATGTCCTAATAAACTTTATACACTTCAAACACACGAATACATTAAATAAAATCTACACAGTACTCTCTCTCTCTCTCTCTCTCTCTCTCTCTAGACTCTTGCTGAGGTCCCAAGGCTGCCAAACAAGCTAAGGAAGAAATGGACTGAGCCATCTACAACCTATTCAGTCCATTAGCCAGCCAATGATGGCCTAGGTAAACATTTAGGTAGTGGAGCAGCTCTCATCCTCACTTAAAAAAAAAAAAAAGCTGAAATAGCTAAATGATCAATTGCATGATGTATTCTTGCAGATCTCTTGGCGAATCTCTAGATCTAGCATATGACATCACTCTCTCTCTCTCTCTCTCTCTCGCTCTCTCTCTCTATATATATAAATATAAATTATTTTTTATAAATTAATATTTGAATAATTTTTAAATAAACCATTGATATAAACCAATTGGTTCTCTTTTTTTTCCAGTTTTATAGTACTTTATTGGTTTTAGTATTACATACAATCTTTCCCCAAAAACAGCTTCGTAAAGAGGACGCGTGACGTCGTGACGTCGTTGTCATTTCCACGTCGTGCGTGCAATATGGCTACGTCCCTGGGCTCAAACACCTACAACAGACAGAACTGGGAAGATTCGGTATGTTTTAATGATTTTCAAACATGTAACACACTGCAGACTGTATCAAAAATGTGTCTGTTTCTTCGCTTTTTGAAAGAAAGAGTTTTTAACCACTTTTTCATCTGACAGTTATAGAAATTAATAATAATTCGTGCACTCTGCTCGCGCGTGCTGTTCAGATACTTATTTAGACTATAAAATACATCGTTAATGAAGTTTACAGAGAAATTTTGATGAATGAAGGTCTTAATAGAAGTTTTCTACAAATATCTTTACATAACTGTCAAGTATTAGTAATGAGTGTTATGACGCTTTTTGGCATTATCAGGATAAAAGGTTTGTTACTTATTATTTATTCTCACGTAGCCACTTGGTAATTCACAAAATATATCAGTTTAGAAGAGACAAATGAAAATACTTTAAAAACGTTGACAAAAAGCTTATAAAAAATTGATAAAATGTCATAAAGTTGGTCACGCCACAACAACCCGCTAATTTACCTGCTAGTTATTAAAACCAATGTGCATTTGGTGTTTTTGTGTATTTCATTGTTGGGATGTCTAAGAAGGCTTTATATAACCCATTCGTCTCTGTTATTTATTTGTATCCAGCTGTCCCATTGTTTATATCAGAGTGTCTTCAAGACATTATTTACAGACAGCTGATTTTAGATGCACCAAATGTCAGCACATGCTGTTCTGTTCAAACATCCAAAATAATAATCGCTTTGTCATGTGTTATGACAACTGGCTGTCCTGAATGCCCTTAAAGGGTCAGTTCACCCAAAAATGAAAATTAGCCCATAAATTACTCACCCTCAAGTCATCCTAGGTGTATATGACTTTCTTCTTTCAGACGAATCCAGTCGGAGTTATATTAAAAATTGTCTTTGATCTTTCAAGCTGTTTCATGGCACTCAGCGGGTGTTGCATGCATCAGTCCAAAAGCAGTTAAATAAAAAGTGCCCATCCATAAAAAAAGTGTCTCACACAGCTCCGGGGGGTGAACAAAGGCCTTCTGTAGCGAATCAATGCCTTTTTGTAAGAAAAATATCCAAAATTTATATTTTAGGTAATATTAGGCCTTTTTGCAAATCAGCTGTATCATTTTAGTATAATTGAGATACTATCATAGTTTTTATTAATATTTAGAGTTTTTATTTTTATATTTTCATTTTAATTTTAAAGTCATTTTTTGTTTTGTAATTTTTAGTTTTTTCTCTGTTTTTTTTTTTTTTTTTAAGTTATTTTAGTACATTGTTAAACTAAATTCAAATGAGAAATGTTGCTTTGGCATCTAGCTGAAATTATAATTTTTTTTTAAATATATAATTAATTTTATTTCAAGTAATTATTATTATTATTATTATTATATTTAATGGTATTAATTTTTGGTTGACTATAATAACCCTGTATATCAGAAGGTATGTTTGCAATGGCATTCTGTCACACTTCTTTATTTAATTAGAAAAATATTCATTCTTATTTTGTGAACAAACTGTATGTGACAGAATGTTTTGATTGATATTTTTTTAAATATATATTTGATATTTTTGAACTAAAAATTTTTTTTTAAGCAAATCAGGGCTGTGTATCCATTAAATCATAAAAAGAAACATTACAAAAAATAAATTTAAAATAAAAACAATTAAAATTAAAAATATTAAATAAAAAATAGTTTACATGCACATGAGAATGTGGTGTTAAATTATCAAAATATTAACTTAAAATCTCAGAACAAAATCTCACATCAAATTGATTTGACTGACAGAAACATTTGGGAACAACGGCCTGAAATAATGTTTGTTTTTACAGGTCTTCCAATCCAGGTCAGAGACACGGGCATGTCCATTAAAGACGACATGCCAAGGTCTGACGTGAACAAGGAATATTACACTCAGAACATGGAGAGAGAGGTAACAATATTACATCTAAGAAATCCAATGCCTGAAAAAAAGAAATATGTGAAATTGTAGCATGTGGTTGGTTTCCTGTCTGTGTCAGATCCAGAACTCAGACGGTACCAGACCGGTGGGGATGCTGGGTAAAGCACAGAACCTCAGTGACATGCTGCTGAAGCTGGCACGAACCACGCCGTACTACAAACGCAACAGACCCCATATCTGCTCCTTCTGGGTGAAGGGAGAGTGTAAGAGAGGAGAGGAGTGTCCCTACAGGTCAGACTCGTGAGTTCGAGTGTTTTAAGTGGTTAAATCATTCACTTATAATGTCAGTACATTTTTTCTTTAAGTACTATGAAAGAAGGCAAGTATCACAGATACCAATATTGATACTGACTTCACATAAATCCATTATAATGCATTATGCATTCAATACAAAAATATTTTAATCAGCAACTTTTTGGTCAATTGACCTTCTTTAGGCTTACAGGTTTTATATTTTTCTAATTAAAAAGATAAAGATAAAAATATAATTTTTGCGTGCAGTATTTTAATAAGGGGGTGATTTTGGACATATTACAATTATTGTCATTTTAAATCTTAAAGTGGGTTTTCAGTATGTTTGAATGAAGTATTCAAAAACTCTGCGTGTATAACAGTGATATAGAGCAGTGTTATTTTAGTATCCTTTATATTTTATTAATATTTTGAGTTTTATTTTTATATTTTATTATATTTTAATTTGAAAGTTTTAGTAAATTTGTTGTATTTTTGTCATTTAGTTTTTATTCATTTTACTAATGTTATTTTAGTTTTAGTTATTTTAGTACATGAATTTAAACTTAATGAAAATGTTGCTTTGGAAATAAAAAAATCGTTTTTATAAACCATTTTTAGTGGTATTTTTAGTCTATGTAGTTTTAATTAATTTTTAATTAATTGTTAGTTTGTATTAATTTTGTTTTCATTTTAGTAATTTAATTTAGTACATCAATATGAAGTACTTAAAATGAAATGAAATTTTTTGCTTTGGCAAGTAGCTGAAAGTTTTTTTTTTTCATATTTTATTTTTTAAAGATTATCTTATTTCAAGTAATACGGTCTGCTTATGGTTTCAGGTTTTGGACCTCCCATGTTCCACCCCATGGGCCCTCCTCCACCTCCTCCGATGGCTTTGAGACCTCCAGGCCAGATCCATTACCCTTCAGATCCATGTTTCCAGGTCCATGCTGCGATTGATTGCCTCCTCATGTGGACTAGTAAAGATTCCCTCACTGCTGCGGTTATTGATCTGTGAAGGTGATGTCATCAGAGATACAGAGTGATTGACTGGTATACAATGGTATGGTCATGTGATTGGGGATGCTATTGTGAGTGCAGTGCCACATCATCATGCATCAGTCACATCTTACACACAGACACAGCTTACCAACAAATAGGCCCTTGTTATTAAAGTTTACCCATCTTACTTCAGACACAAACTCTCTGCCTCCTCGTTATCATCAGTCAAGGTGTTTAAAACATCATCAAAATGCTAACTTGAGTTTACATTGAAAACAAAGCGCTGTTTAGGACTTTTTGCAGTTTGACACGAAAAATTTAACCCATTTTTCGTTCCCTACTCAGGGAACCATGGTTACATAAGTAACCTGAGACGTTTTGCATTACGGTAGATTACTGACAATTTGGGTGGATAATTAGTGCTTAATTCGTGCAAATGTTTATGGTCCAAAAGTAGGCTTCATTTTCTTTTTGTAAAAAAATAATTGCTTAATTTAAATTGTTTTTGTGAGATCCACACACCCACGCCATTCATTCTTACATCTAGAGATTTAACATAATTAAATCTAGTGTCTATGTAAAGGAAGCAACTATGTTAAAAAATTTTTTTTTTAAGTAAGTGATAGTTGCATAGCCACTGTCTTGCTTCTCTTAAGGGTAAAAAGAACTTGATATTTGTTTTCATGCCGTTTTGTAATATTTCTCTGTTTTTCTTTGTGTTCTGAAGCATTTTTTTAATGAACTGTCAGTTCAGGTTTTTTCTGTTGTAACATGAAAAAAGAAATTCAAAAACAAGTACTTTTTATTGAAAGAGCCTACCGTTACAATTTTCTTTTGTGAACATTAAACTAACCATCATTAAATGTGCAGTCTGCTGTTTTTAAGAAACACAGCGACTCAAAGTATTTAGACACTTTTGCATTAGACACAACATATCAAAGCAAGTGCTTTTTATTTTAAGAAAGATGCACAAACACATTTTACAAGAAAAATATTTGACAAAAAAAAAAAAAGAGTTCAGTGTGAAAACAATAGATTTTTTATATTTAGTCATCTAATGCAATATCAAACACATATTTTCCATGTGCTTAAAGGGATAGTTCACCCAAAAATGAAAATTTGATGTTTATCTGCTTACCCCCAGGGCATCCAAGATGTAGGTGACTTGGTTTCTTCAGTAGAACACAAACGAAGATTTTTAACTCAAACCGTTGCAGTCTGTCAGTCATATAATGGAAGTGAATGTGAATCACGGCTTTGAGAGTAAAAAAAAACATACACAAACAAAACCAAATTAAACCCTGCGGCTCGTGACGACACATTGATGTGTAAAGACATGAAACGATCGGTCTGTGCAAGAAACTGAACAGTATTTATATCGTTTTCTTACCTCTGATTCACCGCAATGTCTGAACTGTCCTGAGCGCGTCCTCGACAGCCAGCGTGTGACGCGTCTTCTTCATCTTCTTGCTTTACGGCAGACTTATAAGTGCATTACCGCCACCTATCTCTCAAATGGACTATTGACACTCTATCTACAATCTCAATTAGGAGTGTCAATGGTCAAAGCGCTCAGGACGCGCTCAGGACAGTTCAGACATTGCGTGAATCAGAGGTAAAAAACAATATACATACTGTTCAGTTTCTTGCACAGACCGATCGTTTCGTGTCTTTACACATCAATGTATCATCATCAATGTATTATTGTATAGCAGTGTTAAAGGAATAGTTCATCCAAAAAGACAATTTGCTGAACATTTTATCAGCTGTTTGGACTCTCATTCTGAAGGCACCCATTCACTGCAGGTGAGCAAGTGATGCAATGCTACATTTCTCCAAATTTGTTCCCATGAATGAACAAACTCATCTACATCTTTGGATGGATAAAACTTTCTGCAAGTTGTCATTTTTGGCTGAACTATTCCTTTAACGGTTTAAGAGAACAACCAAGACTTCCTTCATCCAGCACTGAGCTAAAACCATCTCCTCATCCTAATCATCTTTATCCTGATGTTTAATGTTGGTTTTCCAGCTGCTCTCCTCTGGCCTTTCACCTGCCGGGAACATAATGGGACGGCCTGAAAGTGCAAAGCGCAGGTCTTTACGGCGTGGCAGTCTTTTCCTCTAATGTTACAGGTGTGGATCAGCGCCGAGCTCACAGGTCATTTGACTCAGGCGAGTATCCGATGCCCCATCCCCGCGGGGCTCTGTTGAAGTTGCGTCGTTTCGACATGGTGGTCAAGGTCATGCCAGAAAGATTTGGAGTCTCCAGAGCTTCAAAGCCAATAACAGGAATCACCCTCTGACTGCGCACTGGACCTCCAAATGGCACTGCAGCTCTAAAACAAAAACCACATAAAGAAGAGTTGAACTGAATCTGCAAGTGCTCTCACAACCCATTCCCCTCCATCATGTGGCATATTTCTGAGTATTCAATGCAGTGTTGTTGTATTGTTATATTTATTATTATTACAGTTATGTATTTTTATTATAGTTTTCATTTCTATTTTTATATTTTCAGTTTTCATTTTAATTTTTAGTAGTGCTGTCAAACGATTAATCGCATCCAAAATAACAGTTTTTGTTTACATATGTGTGTACTGTGTATATTTATTATGTGTATATATAAATACACACACATACAGTATATATTTAGAAAATACATGTATTTACATGTATATATTTATATTCATATAATTTATATAATATATAAATATATTTAATATATAAACATAGCTTTTGTGTGTTTTCTGTTTTATATTACTATTTAGGTTTCGTTTATTTTACTTCAGTATTTTATGAATTTATAAAATGTATTACTATTGTAATTTTCATAGAATTTTTTGTATATTTTCATTTACTTTTAGTTTCGTTTTACTCATTTTATGTGCTTTTGACATGCTTTTGTGTTTTCTTTTTTTATATTACTATTTACAGGGTTCGTACGGGTGCTTGAAATCCTTGAAAAGTGCTTGGACTTTGGATAAAGTGCTTGAAATTGCAATTGCATTGGTTTTTATAATAATTAGCTTTATTACTGAATAACGTTCGTTCGTTTTTTAACCAAAATGCCTTTTGCATGAAACGAAAACGACTGCGCGTGTCTGTATTTATTGACCTGCGCCCTCTGAACAGAGCGGGAGATAATGTCGGGAGGTTGCTGCTTTAGTGAGTGTTGTTGGCAAATACAAATTATGGTTAAAATAATGTAAAATCTCCTGTAAATTCTGCTTTTTTTCATGGGAGATTATGCGCTTTCAAGCCATGTAAAAGGCAAGAAAAAATGCCCTTGCTCAGTTAACCTAAATATGTTAAGACTGTCGCGATTAAGGCACACCATCAGCATGCATGAAGCTAATGTGCCAAAACCTCTTGGTGACCCTCAAGGCCGTTTCTCATATCATGTTTTGCCTCGGTTTTCTGGTACCGCAGAGAATGAAGACTTAATCCCTCCCAAATAAAGAAGCTGTTACAGGGGAATCCCAACCCTATGGGCTGCAGTATATTGAGTCACGTTATTGTGATGCATCGATGAACCGTTTGATGCAACTCTTTCCGTTTTGTTTCAGCAGTCATAATGAATTTGAATCAGATTGGGACTTTCAAGACTCCCGAATGCTGCTTGTTGAATTACTTGGTTATTAATTAATTCACCAATTAAGTTGGTTTTTCTGAGATTTCAGAATTTCGCCGTTTCAAATATGGCCGCCGAGTGAACAGACTTCCCCTGAGCGGTAGCTACTTTCTTACCTGTTAAAGCACCTGTAGTTCGCCGGCGGGAGTTTCTGTGGCGGTTCCACTCTCTGAGTGTTGAGTGAAGGCAGAAGCTCTTCATTTTCTCCCAGGGCTTCCCGCCACGGCGAACAATAAGACTTCGGGATCACCGTGGCGTTGAATTTTTCTCGAGGGATCTCTCTAAGCGGTCCAGAGTAGCCTAAAAGGATAGGATGGTGCTTGGTGATTCACAGGCCAATTATAGAGGGAGCTTTGCTGTCCTGAAGCGCATTCTAGCATGCTACGGCGTTTAGCTCATAGAGCTCGCTCAGGAGCGCACATCCAGACCGGTCCCTTCAGGGGCCATGGGCAGATAAGGAGATGGAAACAGGAGATGGATGTTTATTAAGGGCTCCACAGACGGAGGAAGAACATTAGACAGAATTAATTAAGCGCAGCAACGAGCTAATGATTACAGTTCATCAGATGAGTGAAGCTGCTCTCAAAGACGTCAGAAATACATACAAGCATGCTCATCATATTCAAAAATACACTTATGTGTTTCTATGCACTGCAAAAATAATTTTCTTAACGATCAGTTTCGTCTGTTTCCAGGTCACATATCTAAAAATTCTTGAAGCAAGATAAGTGTACTTGAGAAACACCAATACATAAGATATCAAAGAGGACCAGTTTCGTTTTTAAAACAATTCCTTTAATATATTTAATGTCTGAATATGATTTTTTGCTCTGTATTTTATGTATAGTCATTTTCTATTGTTAACTGTTTTAAATTCATTTCAAATCAATTTCTAAATCATTTAAAAAGTTTTTAAGTTCCCTGTTTTATTGTTGTGATTTTTTTTATGATTATTTTACTTCCTTTTATGTAAAGCACTTTGAATTACCATTGTGTATGAAATGTGCTATATAAATAAACTTGCCTTGCCTTGTTAATTTTAATTATATGTATGTTAATAAATACATATTAAAGTATGTATTTTTTCATATTTATTTTTGTTATTTTGCTAGTTTATATTAAAGACACAATTTACATGGATTATGTATATAAGTATTATATATATAATAAAGTATTTAAGATATTGAATTAGCTTTTTATTTTTATATTTGCAGTTTTAATTTCATTTTTGTTTGGTAATTTTTTTTATGTTCTTTTGTCATTTATTTGTATTATTATTTTTAAAAATATTTTAATGTAGCTTTAATTTATTCCAGTTTTAATAATGTTTGTACTTCAATTTCATCTTATTTCAGTTTTTTCTTTCTTTCTTTTTTTGTGTAAAATTTTCATCTAATATTCATATTTTCTTTTATTTTCTTTTATTTGAATTACCAAAACAATTTTAAAAAGTTTTAATATAGTTTTTGATAGTGGTAGTTAGCAATAACAACGCTGCTCTCAACAAGTACATTTATCTTGTTTTAAAGATTTTTAGATATTTTACTGGAAGATAAATGAATAAAACTACATTAAAGTCATTATTTACAGTGCAAGGTTTTGTGTGCTTTGAGTCAAGATTATTAACACAAATTGTTAATCTTACTAAGACAATTTAAAGTTAGATATGTATAATTAAAACTATTATAAA